GGCTTATAACTCAGTTGCAGGTGCTATAACAACACTTTCTAATTATTCAACAGATGATATGCAAAAGGCCTTTGTTATTAAGAAACAGTTCGACAAAGGACTTTCCCCAAATTTATTCGAGAAGGCAAACCCATTCATTGTTTCATTAGTTTTAAAGATATATTTTACTTCCCTCCCTCAACCATTTTTTCAAAAAGGCGTTGTCGAAGACATCATGCGGATGTTAAAAGGGCAACGGTTGATTTCATATGGCTCTTCTCCAACTTTGACATCGCCAAGAATTTTTGCACAGAACAAAAATGACTTTCTTAGTGTGACTAATTTGGACAAAGACTCGGACAAATCAGAGAAAGTTACTGATGAAAGTGTCATTAAAAATGTCAAAGCTTTACTCAAGGAGTATCTGAGTAGCACCGACACTCAACTTGTTTTTAATGAAGTGATCGAGACAATTAAACATATGGAAGGGTGTTTAGACAAACAACAAATGACCAGTTGCTGTACCTTTTTTCTCGACTGCTTTTTCCCATCGTTTGAGTTTCCAGAACTCTTTGTCGAACTCTTCCCGAAGTTTTCAGTGTTACCAAAGAAAATTGACATTATTTCGATGGACTCTGAAGAGTCGTACGATGGCGAGACAGTGAAGTGTGTGTATCCAAATGTGTGGTGTCCATTGTCTGTGTTAACTGAACCGTTCACTGGAGAGGAAGTCCAAGTGCCAGGGAAACTAGCAGTCACGTCGTATCGTCTAGTTTTTATCCCATCAGTCACTCTTGATGCGTCAAGAAAGGCAATTCTCTTTTTGGTTGGACAAACGCCACTCAACAACATCGCTTGGAAGAAAGTAAGTGAACACCACGACAAACAAATGCTGCGGATAGTTACATCGACATATACTGTCATGACCTTTTTTGCAACAACTAAAATGCTTAAAAATGTCGATTTTGCAATTGATGACGCGTTGAATGAACATATGTCGATTTACATCAATCCACTGGGCGGGAAATTAAGTGAAAGCGAAGTTTCAGAACGCGAAAATTTGGCTGCGACGTGGAAGGAACGAAGCGACCGAAATAAATGGACTTACCAACTTAACCTAAATACTGACATCCTCCCACTCAACTGTCCACTCTTCCCAACAACAATAAAATGTCAACAACGAGGAAGAGAAATATTTGTTAGTTGCATGTTGTCACGAATGGACGCGTGTGTCCTTCGATTGACCACTCCCGGTTTGTTCTATTGTGTTATCTGTGATAAAAGTGTATATAATTATAATGACGAGTGACAGACAGCACTAAAAAAGGTATTGACGGAATTAAAAGTCGATGTCGAAGAAATCGAAAATGTCCAAATCAAAGAGGTGTATTTCCACATGAAAGGATCAGAAGAATTTGAAAAGGTTTTTGAAAATATTTTGACCAACGTCATCTATGGAAAAAATTCGAAAGAGTTTGGCAACTATAACGAGTTGGTGGGGAAGGCAAACACATTGTTGAACAATTGTTTTAATCAAGTCAATGAGATCATGACGTGTTTGAATGCGGGGACAAACTGTTTACTTCTACCACAAGGCATTAAAGAAACGGATGTTGCTATATTCACAAGTTTGATTCAAATAATCATGGACTCTTATCATCGAACAATTAATGGCTTTCTTCAACTTTTGCGATGCGAATTTTGTTCATTACGGTACGATTTCGATGCGCAGAAACATTCATTTACGTTCTTTATTGTTGCACTCATTCTCATTTACAAGAGAAATCCGTCGTTTTTTGAATTCAACCAATTGTTCCTCGAGTACATTCATCACCACTCTACGTCAAAACTCTTTGTCGAATTCTCACAAAACGCAAAGTCGTCAATAAAAAATGCGATATTTGACAGACTCAATTACTTCAAAAACCCTTTTTATAAAAAGACGGAAGAAGTGATCACTATCAACAACACAACTATCCATTACTGCAACGAAATATTCTTTAAATCACACACTATTTCCCCAATGACTACAGCAAAACTCCTTCAACCATGTTCAAATGGGATCATGGACGCATCACAACAAAACATTCACTTCTTCCCACTGCTGCCAAATTTTCCAACAGGAAATAACACCACTCGGCTTGTACTTTCTAAGAACAACATCACCGATTTCCCAACCGAATTTTCACAATTTTTAGGACTCAAAGAACTCGACTTGTCCGATAACAAACTTTCTTTTTTAAGTGATATTTTGTCAAACATGAGAGTGTTGACTCTACTGAACATTTCTGGAAATAACTTATTGAACATCGATAAAAGTGTTTCGACTTTACCACTCATCGAACTCGACTTGAGTTCGAATGATATTCAACACCCAAAAGCAGACTATTTCCCTACAACACTGAAAAGACTTTTTCTGAGGCAAAATACAGTTGTCCCCGATTTGACACATTTGCAGATAACACTACTCGATTTATCACTCACACTTGGCCTTGACAAAACGGACTTTATTCAAAACCTCCCCGTCACACTCAGTGAATTGAGACTTTCGGGATGTGCTTTAGAACACTTGCCATGCTCGTGTTCGAAATTGACTGAGTTGAAGAAGATCAACTTGTCGAAGAACAAACTTTATAATTTGCCTCCTTCATTCTTCTTACTCACAAAGATCACTGAAATTAATCTAAAGGAAAACCCACTTCGACAGATTTCAGTGATGATGATAAAACTCAATAATTTGGAGAAAATGGAACTGGACGAAAACGTCACTCTTCCGACACAGTTGAAGTCGTTGTTCCCTGAACGAAGTTTAAAAGAAAAACTTGCAAAGAAAAATGGGGAGGATTACGTCCATTTCTATATCACTGGAGATGACAATCAGTGCGACCTCGTCGGACAACTGATAAAGAAAAACAAAGAAAAGGAAAAGGAGAAAAGAGTAGAAAATGGCACAACAATAATGCTCGAAAAGTTCCTTTCGATATCCGTTGTGTCGATTTTTGATGTTCAAATGGGGGTATTTGTGATGATGGCAAATTCAGTTTTTATTGTTTGCGAGGACAACAAAAACAAGACCAACCCATTTGAGAGAATGTTGCGATTCTTTACATATGTGGGTGTGCGACAACCAATCATTTGTGTGTTTTATAAAACAGAGGAAGACTTGTATACAAATGAGTACGACACAGTTGCAAGAAATCTGAAGGCAAAGTACCTCGACTTACAGATCGACTTTTTCCAATTTGATAACTTGAAGCCAGAGAAGAGTGTCAAGGAATTAACAAAATTGATGAAAGAGACGGCAAATGAAACGAAGGTTGCTGTGTCACAAACATGCAACAAACTTATAGACGAAATGCAATATATTGATATGTATCCCGGTATCACAGAAGTCTCTTGGATCAAAGATTTGATGACAACAATGTCGATCAAAGAAGAACAACACCAAAAGTTCATTGAAATTCTTCAAAAGCTAAATAAAATATACCTTTTCCCAACAGATTCGTCTTGTGTGATATTCAACTACTCACTGATGCACCAACACAACATGCTCGAGAAATGCATTTTCTGTCTTGTCGACACTGAAATGGTCAAAACGGCATTTGAGTTGTTACTCCAACACAACTGTCGTACTGGGTTGGAATTAACAAACATGTCTGAGCTTCTTGGCAAAGAAGCTACACAACAACAAGAACACTTCTTTTGGGACGTCCTCGAATTTTTTCATATTGTCTTTGTTTTCCGAAGTGAATTCTTTGAACGGTTGAATTTGCGGGATGCGTATTTGAGTCTTATGAGAAGGATTTTACTTGAGAAGGACAAAGTAGGAATGTTGTCGCCATCCAAATCGCAAACGATGCTCAAATTGTCGAGCATTGAAATTCCTATCAAGACAAGTTTTGCTATTAACTCTGCAAGTCCAATGAATGTCAACCACCCAAAGAAAGTGGTTTCTGGAAGTGGGAAAAAGCGGCTGATGAAGCAGATCGTCGTAACAAATGACCAGAAAAATGAACTTGAAAAGTTTGAGGTTTTGCGATCTCAAAACAAGAAGTCTGCGATGGGATTTTTGATATTCAATTATTACGGGTTGTCAGAGAAAGAGCCTGAGAACTGTTGGAAAGTTGATGAGAAAAAGGAAGTTGAGATAGGGAGGGTGTACTCCTTCAACTTTTTGCCACTCCAATTTATGATGATGTTTCTTTCAATCTTTGCAGTTAAGCATAAACTCATTAATTCGTGGCGAGGGGGGTTCTTAGGGGAAATTGTGATTCAAGGCTCGACATATCAAGCAAAGGTTTCTTTTGATTTTGAGCGAATGAAGGTTTCGATACGTCTCAAAATCATAGTTGAGAGTGAAAAGTCGTTTTTAATGACAACGAATGTGTGGGACGATTTCAAGTGGATTGTGGAAAGTGCTCAAAAACAATTTTCGCTGATGAACTCTTCGATGCTAATAGTTTGCCCGCACTGCCTCCAACGTGATAGCAATGAAGAGTGGTATACATTGACGGAAACTCAAATTAATGAGATGATTGAAGTTGGTACCTATTCAATAGTGGTGGAAGAACATGCCGTCCATTTTGTACTGTCATGCTGGGACTTTTTTGTGAAGCGTCTTGAGAACAATGGGAATCAGTACGAAAGCGAGGACTTTGAACTCACCGAGGTGATTGCACACGGCTCGTCCTCGACAATTAAAAAATGCAAAGTTGCACACCAAGAAGATAAAACGCAACTGTACACAACTCCACGTGTCCGAGTTTTCGCGACATCACCACGATCTGAATTCAAAAAGAAAAAGAAAGCAACCAAAAGTTTAGTTGATTTAAATGCGGCTAAAAAGAATGAAAAGAGTGTCAGAGAAAAGACCAAAAAGTTTGAAAAACTGATAGAAGAGAAATTGGACGGGAAATATGAGAAGGGAGGCATCAAAAAAGACTCATCGAATGTCTCCAATTTAAAAACGGAAAAGTCGTCAAAAGAAATTTATTCCAATTCTGTTGCGGGTGGTACGGACTATGAGAAAAGTCATATGGATACACTTTGTGACATTGAGAAATATGGTAAAATCGAGAAGAACATGCCTTGTATCTTTGAACGGACGAAACAAAGTGACATCCGAACTGACGTAGAGATAGATTACGTGGTAGTGAAAGAAACGGTTTTTGATATCAAAGGGATGCTTATGAATGGAGACGACTACAAAAAGTATTACATTAACACCGTCGAGGAATTTATAAGGGAATGCGAGTTCATGAAATTTCCCGACTCGAATTACGTTGCGAAGATCTATGGCTTCATTCTCTCTCCTCTATGCGTTGTGATGGAGTACTTCAATGGCGGGTCACTTTTCAATTACATAGCAAAACACCAGACATTATCATGGGGGGTCCGTCTTCAAATCAGTATGAGTATTGCTCGTGGAATGGAACTGTTTACTACTCGAAAACAACCACTTGTCCACCGCGACCTGAAAAGTCCTAATATTGTTCTTAAAGTCGATGAAGACCAGGAAATTACACAAGTTGCGATCACTGACTTTGGTCAGAGCATGCCTACATATGGTACTGATTATAAGAACTGCGTGGCAGTAGAATGCCCATTTTGGCTTGCGCCAGAGGTCGTCAACACTAGTGTTTTTGAAGTCGAAAGCGACGTGTACTCGTTTGGGATGATACTTTGGGAACTCTCCACGTTGAGTTCGCCGTTTCCACAGTTTAAGTTCATGGAAGAGATCCGACTGTTCATTAAGTGTGGCAACTTGTTGCAAATTCCAAAGTCTAAAATACCGGAGTTCGACAAACTCATTGAGGACTGTTGGAAATTACCAAAGCAACGCCCAACATTCACCACTATTGTTCAAAGACTTTCAGATCTTATCAAAAAGGTGGAAGTGTAAGTTTGTCTGTTTGTGTGTTTTGTTTTCAACTATTTTAATAGTTCAATATAGTTTGTAGAGCAAATTATATTGAACGGGAAATTAAAATGAAAAATTTGGTTTTGGAACTACAATTTATAGTAAAAATAATTAGAAAGTATGGTAAGAGTTTTTACAATAGTTAATTATAATTAAAAATATATAACACACTTAAAAAAGTGTGAGCGAACTTTGAATGCGATTCTAAGTAAATTGCAAGAAAAATAAAACAACAGATGAAGCAAGACATCTCTTAAGCATAGAAGTTCATTGGATAGAATGGCATTGTTGGCACTTGGAAACGCTTTTGAGGGTAGTAATGTGTCATTGGATACGCACTTGGAAGGAAGTGTTTGAACCCGTAATACCCCATACCATACCCATAAAGTGGGTCATAGTAATACGGCATGCGCTGCGTCAACTCGTACTCTTCATCGTCTTCGTTCTCAGCCTCCTCGTCCTCTTCTTCTTCAATTTCGTCTTCCTCATCTTCGATGTCATCATCCTCAAACTCGTCGTCGAAATCATCGTCATACATATCTTCATAATCATCATCAATATCGTCATAGTTCAACTCCAAATCGTCGTCATCATCTTCAGCGAAGTCATACGATGAAATGGCATTCACAAACGTCAGAAAAACAAAAATCAAGAACAACACTCTCATGACAAAAGTATAATTTGTAGTTACATATTAAAAATCAAAAATTCAATTAATGCTTATTATATTATGACAGTTTATTTTAAACTATAAAAACTGATTTTATTGTTATTTGGGTATAATTTAATACCACAATATGTCGTTTTCAAATGTAAATTAATAAAACATTTCTATAACAATTTTGCAAATATTATTTAGTTGTGTTATTTTTAATTTTAATTAATTTCTAATTTCAATTAGCAATTTGAATAACATTCAACAATATTTTAGTTGTCAGAAAAAAACAGGAAATCTTGACATTATTAAGTATTTCCCCCCTTTTTTAAAATATTATTATGTGCTTACCAAACACAAGCCAAACAGGGAAAAATATCAAATTATTTCTATATATCCCTGTATAAACATATCAATTTAAAAACAAAGACATTATTTTATTGTTAATGTGTTATTTACTATATTACCATCAATAAAAGAAAATAACCAACAAAACAATTAATAACAATTTATTTGTTTTTATTTTAGAACATTTTTGGTAATAATTATAGTTTTATTGTAGTTTTATTTTAATAACTTGATTATATAAAATTAAAACAACCCAAATTTGTGACCACAACCAAACCTTTCTATTTGTTGCAGTTTTACTATGATTGATAAGACCAAAGTTTGCAAAAGCAAACTATCTTATGATGAGCACTAAACCATGGTTATGATGTTAAAAACAATTGAAGTTCACTCATTATTTTGGGTAGAGTCTTCAAATCATTTTAACTTGCAAAAAGATTACAATGTAATCATTTTGATCTCCAAATAATCAGTGCTAACCAATTAATGGGTAATAAATCAACCAAAATCAGTCCACCAAAGACATTCACAATACAACAATTTGACTCCTCAGAAGAAGAGGAGATCCGTTTAAAACTTACATTGGCAACTCCCCGAGGAAAAAGTAAGAAACGAGAATACACTGTTTATACCAAAGAAGATGTTAAATTAACAAGCGAGTATGTCAACATTGTTTATTCACCCAGACTTAAAACAAAAAGAAAGAACCCACAAGTTCCAAAGCTTTTGTTAAGTCAACAACCCAATTCAATAAAAAATGAGTCACTTTCTTCAAGAACAGCAACAACAAAACAGCAAAAGTCACCAAGGATAAAATACAAATCACTCTTTGGTCCATCACAAACTGTGATCAATCATTTCACTCTTTCTCCTAGAAAACAAACGAAAGAATCCATTAAAAATGATTTAATTCTCAAGAATTCATTATGTTCTGATAATGATTTGATTGCTTGGAACAAGGAATATAACCTTGTCTTCGACTCAAGTTTCGACGAAGTCAGTTCAAGAAGTTTTAATGCAAAAGTGGTTGGGAGGAGTAACATTTTAGTTACTATGACTACCAAAGATGGGTTTTTTCTTGGATTTTCACAAGAGGGTCTTATCCCCCCTTCTTCTAAATACGGAAACGTCAAAACAAAAACAAATGTGTTGCGGGTGTACGGCTTTGGTCACACACTCCTTGACTTTGTTCAAAAAAACAATCACAAAGACGATGTTGGGCTTATAGTGTACCCAAGTACTGTAGGTGGCTTTATCTTTTCATGTGACTCTGCTTTTTGGCTTTCAGACGGGAAGATCTACATCCACCAATGCTTAAAGACGGCTTACAACGTGAGTCCAGAATGTCGAAACCCACTTCTGAGCATCCACTTCAAAAAGTTTTTGATTCTGGACAAGCTTTATGTATGGGAAAAGGTTGTGTAAACATAGCCAATCGCTCAACTGGACCAACACATTAACTAAATGACTCTGTATTGTTTACTTACTTCTATACACTTATTTAAATTTGAAATAGAAAGTTTGAATACAACAACTAAAGTGTACAACCAAAAAATGGAAATTAACTCGTGAAAGTCAGAATAGTAAACAGTACCAACGCTAAATCACAAACATCTGTTCATAGATTTGAACTTTGCATTGATGACGAAGTGGCTTGGTCATACATCTTAATGAGTTGTGGAGCTTGGACAAGTTGCTGGATTTCATTCATCGAGTAAGGGATCATAAACATGGTCGGGAGGTTGTATGGCTTAGCAAGCTCTTCTGTGAATTGAGAAATCTGTTGTACATAGACAAGGAAGTTGTTAATGTTCTCGAATGAGATTTGTCCGCTGTCAAGCTCGTGTTGGTACAACAAGTCGAGCACTTGGTTTGCGTTTGTCATAATCATTGCCAGCCTATTCTTGAAGTCGGGGTCTGTTGTTTTTTCTTCAGTTTTTGTTTGTTGGGGTTGTTGTTGAAGTTCTTGTGGTACTTGTTGAATTTGTTGACATTGTGGTTGGAGGGTCTGTGCAATTTTGATCGAAGGGATGCTTTGAATTGGGAGTGGTTGCTGAATTGGTTGAGTGGTTGTTTGAGGTGTAACTTGTTGTTTTTGTACAGGGGGTGGAGGTGCATTTGTGAAAGGTACTTGTTTCATAGCAACAACTTCCTTGAATTCCTCCTTTGGACTTTTTGATGTTGATATTGGCCCATTTGTTGTCTTTCCTTTTCGAATGTTTTTGGCTTTGGTTTGCCTCTTTGAAGGTTGAGTTGGCTGTACCTGTATCTGTAAAGTCTGTTGTGATGAAGGGGGGTGTTTTGGTTCGGGTGAATTTGGGGTATCATCTTGTATAGAGCCCAACACATTTTCGATTGAATCCATCATTGGTGTCATCCGTCCTGTTGGTTTTCCTTTCACTGAAGAGCTTTCAACGTCGTCGCTCTCCTGACTGGACGAATTATGTGCTTTCCCTGAAGTATTTGTATGGAGCGGACGAGCCAAGTTTTTATCTCTGCAAAATTCCGCCCAACCTAGTGTTCCCCCTGCCTCAGTGTACTCGATGAATTTCACACGTGTTGCTACATCTCTTAGTCTCTTGTGGGGGAGGTTGGTCAAAAGAAGGGTATACCTCTTCAAGTCGGAACAGCGGTTCTTTGGATTGTTCTCCATGTTTGTGCGGAGCGTTTGAATCTCGTCGTCCGCCCATTGGACGCACCCTTCGGGTTCCCCGTTCCCTTTGTTTGATGCACTCATTGCTTTTTTAAAGATCTTTTTTTGAGTTAAATATCACCATTGTTTTTTTCAAAGGGGTCGTTATTATTCAAACACGTCATATTCAATTAAAATATATACTTACCGAAAAACTATAATTTTTTGGTATTTTTATGGCATAATCAAATAAAATGGTAGTTACTCAAACATGTTTTATAAGAGTACAAAATAAACTGTTGAGTATTGTTTTATTCGAGATGAAAATTTGGACATAATAAATGATTATATCAAGAATAACTTATTGTTTTTTTATCTAGTTATTATTGTTTTTATTTTTTTTCGTTATTACATTGTGGTTATAGAATAAGTATTGAAGTATATCAACTAAAATGAATATAACTGAACAATAATATATATTGCAAATATAAATTATAAGTTTTATCAATCAGAATTAGTATCAATTAAGTTAAATTGTTTTTTAAGCTGTTCAACGACCTTTGAATCTCTTTGAAAATCGTCGACGTATTTATTAAATCAAAAGTCGGCGAACAGACATTAACTTTGTAAAAAATACACACCACAACTTTTACTCACAACTTTTTTTACAATATAATTCTTATTAAAAAAATTATAATTATCAATCATTAATGAATTATAATATCTAATCATTGAAAACTATAATTAATTGTATTTTAATAAATTAATTTATAAATGGTATTTTTTTGTTATAATTGAATTATAAAGAAGAATAAACAATAAAATTTTAATTATTGTTTTAAAAATGATATTTATAACAAATATTATGCTGTTTGTTATAAAAATGTTCTTGCAGTTTTATTAAAAATGTGAAACTGGAAATAATAAAATGAACGAGCTTATGGACGCTGTTTTTTTCTCGATAGCACCTGTCACACGAGCTTACATCATTTCTGTAGTTGGGGTATTTGTGTTGATTAAAGCAAATGTGGTTCACATCTCATCACTTGTTTTCGATGCATCAGCGATTCTCGATGGAGAGGTTTGGCGACTTGTCACTTCTTTCTTGGTCCTTTCAGAGAACTTTGACTTATACTTCATTTTCAACGTCCTCTTTACGTTTGTTGTATACTCTTGTAAGCATTTATTATATTCCTTTTAAAGAAAAACGCACTCACAGATAGAATGCAAGTTTCTGACGCGCTCGAGCAAACCTGTAGAAATTGGTTACATTACCTTTGGATGATCTTTTTGGGGGGATTTGCCATAATATGTTGTTCTCTCTTTGTTTACTTTGTTGGCTACGTTCCTGCCCAACTTCCACTATTGTACAGCTCCCTCAAATTCTTTCTTGTTTACGTCTGGAGTAAGCGCAACAGAGACCGTTTGTCATTTCAATATGTTATACCCATTCTATCAAATTATTTATTTGTTATTACTTATTAACAATTGGTGTGTTGAAATTATAAGCTTAAAAATGATACGACTCATCTTTAGAGAATGTTGGTATGATGCTTTTTGTTGTTGTTAAACTTGTATATTTTCCTTGGATTCTATTGTTATTGGACACATTGTTGTTCCACGATGGGATGGATGACATCTATGGAATTGTCTTTGGCCATATCTTTTATTGGTTTGAGGATGTCTTTCCAATGTATTACAACTGGAGGCCTCTTGAACTACCAAAGTTTGTTAACAACATCTTCTTCCAACAAGTCGAGTTGAACGACGAACCCGTTGAGATGGTGGAAGAGCACATCGACTGACATCCACCTTTTTATTCTGGTTTATTGCTTAAATGTGCGTTTTAATGAATTATCTTTTTAACCTTATTTTCTTATTTTTTTATAACTTGTCTTATTTGCAAGAAATAATTTTTTGTGCCTACTTCTCCATTTTTGGGTTTGTTATTCTGATTTGATTGTGATGGTTTTTTATAATCAAAGAGTTATATAACAATCATTGTAATGTCTTAAGTAGTATGAAAATTCTGAAAAGAAATTTACCATTGGATATAACAAACAAATATGAACTCAAAAAGCATGACCAACAAAAACAAGTTTGTTTACTCCTTTATGCCAACAGGCATGGTCCAGACAAATTGCACCATAATCGGAAATTTGGAACTGAAGACGTACATTCTGTGCGACGTTGGGGGCGACGCCGAGAAGGTTGTCGAAAAGGCGAAGAAGATGGGATTAACAAAGTGTGTTGGCGTCTTTTTCACACATGGACACTTTGACCACGTTGTTGGATCAACAGAGATTAAACGTATCACAGAAGCACCACTCATCATCAACGAGAAGGACGTGGAAATGTACTACGACATGAAAAAGCAACAGAACTTCTTTGGGATCAAGATAGAGAAAGTTGCTACAATCGACAGAACAGTCAAAGACAGAAATGTTATAGATGGAATTGGAACGTGTGCTCTGGTGATACACACACCAGGACACTCACCGGGTTCATCATGTCTCTATTTTGAAGAACTAGACTTACTAATCGCAGGCGATACACTTTTCAGAGAGAGTTATGGCAAGACGGAAATGTGGGGATACGACTTCGCCAAACTTAAGAACTCGATCACTGAGATTTTGTTCAAACTCCCAGGTAAGACTACCGTAGTTACGGGTCACGGAAGTTCGACAACAATAGCCTTCGAGAAGGTGTCCAACTCCATCATGTTCTGATGTTAATTGATAAATAGGTATTTGTTATGTTGTGATGGCCAAATGCACCAACTTAGAGTAGAAGACAAACCAACAAAAGCAATGCAACACAATCACTTTTTGAATTGAGACAATGCGAGAGTCGGTTCATAAGTCTTTGTGCAGAAGTCGAAACCGAGTGCAGTTTGTGCGGACGCCCGTTTGAGTGGGTCAACTATTAACAGCTTGTCGATGAGCTGTGTAAAGTCACGAAGTGTAAGTGTTGGAAACAGTTTTTTTCCGTCACACCCATTCTTGACGCGCCGATTAACACACTTCCCAAACGGATCGATTTCATTGTGGAGAAACGTGTTCTCGTCGACAAAGTGAATGTTGGCATATACCCCATCGCGGACCATCTTTTGTGGGATGCGCCCTCTAATCGTGATGATGTGATATAACATGTCGTTGTTGCTGTCACCACTGAAAGGAACACACCCAATAACAACTTCGTAGAGCATTACACCTACACTCCACATGTCATATTTCGTGTCAAATTTGTTACCCACCATCACTTCGGGCGCTCGATAGAACCGACTCCCAATTTCATCACTCTGTTCACGCTCATGGAGACGAACTGCACTCCCGAAGTCTCCAAGCTTTGCAGTGTTGTTGACTATCAGGATGTTGTCAGGCTTGATATCACAATGCACTACAGAACAGACACGGTGCAACATGTCAAGTGCTTTCAATACATCGGTGGTGAGTTTTTGTAACTCACAGACAGTGTAGTCACAGTGTCGGGTGTTCATCAACACACGCAACGACTTCTCCATTAACTCCGTCACAAGGCAATAATGCTCCTTGTACTTGAACTCACTCAACAACATCACAACATACTCACGCCCTTCCTTCTCGACTTCCTTTACTACCTCAGCCTCGCGTTGGCACGCCTTCACCATGCTCTCATTGTTGCGTACAATCTTCATCGCATATCGCTCACCTTTTTTGTCCACTTCATACACACTCCCAAATGTCCCCTGTCCTATTCGACATACTATGGTATACCCCCCTACAGCCTCACCACTCCGACCAACTGTTTGTCATTGCTTCTTCTTCATGTTATTTGCTTCAAGATCAAGTAAAACCAAACCAAAATAACCATCGGCATCAGTCGTTGACTCAATTGCTTCGCTCTGAGTAACCTGAAGCTCAGTGCCATTGCACTCCACACTACTATCATCACCAAAGATATCTATCCCACTCATGAAGTTTTAATTTTTGAAGTTCTTTTTAAACGCTCAACATTTTTTTTCAATTTGGACAACCGTCTTGTTTTTCCATACTTAACTAAAACTTACACTATATATTAATTTGTTGTATTGTCACTCTCACAAAATGTGAACACTCGCATATTTAACAATATTTAAACACATTTCTTCGATGTAAAAAAAATGGTGTGTCTTTTTCTTTGAGTTGTTTGAATAAATATTTTATTGTTTTTTATAAAACTAATTAAGATTTAATTATGGTATATTTGATAATAAAAATTATATATTGAGAGGTGTTATTATATAAAATTTAAAATATACAATTTAATTGAATTCCCAAATAATTAAAAAAAATCCACATTATATAAATTATAGTTTTAATTAAATATATTTTTTATATGTTTTTCACATTGAAATATATTTAAACAATTCAACCTTTAAACATTTATTTTACACATTTGAAAAAAATTAATGTGTGTAAAGTTTTTGCGAACTTGATAAAAAACAATGGAAATCGATATCGACTCACTTACGAAAAAACTTTTACAAAACGACTTGCAGCCACACATTCCTAAAGACATCACAGAAGCAATCATCATCAAACTTGTAACCAAAGAAAATACAATCCCACATAAGAAATATACTGAAAGTCTCACTTTTGTTTACCAATTTTTGCTTGAGCTAAACCCAAAGTACTCCACTACACAAGTCATTGCAATCCCAACAAAACCAATTTATCCATTATACAAAAAAGTTGGAATGGGAGGGACGTTCGACCGTCTTCACTGTGGACATTACAGTCTTTTGCAGTCTGGACTCTTTTCCAGTAGCTCAATTTTCGAAATCGGCATTTCTGGCGATGCGCTTCTTGTCCACAAAGCCGGCCGCGACAAGATCTTTACATTCGAAAAACGACGAAACCAACTTGAAAACTTTGTTTTGAAAATTCAAAGTGTTGTTCCAAACGTTGCAAAAGTCAGTTTGTGCGAAATTGACACACCAGCAGGAACTGTCACAACAGACACGGCTCTTGAGGCAGTTGTTGTTAGTCCGGAGACGCTTTCTTCACTTACACAAGTCAATGTCGAGAGGGTCAACAGTGGGATGAAAAGCATTGAACCTATCATCATCGGGCTGATTTGCTGTGGAGACGCTAAGGTGTCCTCTTCCACTATTCGAAACTCTGAGAAGTAGTTTACTTATTTTTCGTTTTTTTGTTATTAACAAAATTAATTGGTCTCGGATATATAAGTATAAATAAATAATTTATTATTATAGTCAGTCTAACAACTTTGT